CTTAGTGTTGTATCCTAATCCCCTTGTAACAGAATGAATACTGTGAAAACTTCTCCAAATTGTTTCATTTGATGATGTTGCTATTTCATGATTTTTTTCTTTTTCTCGTATATGTTGACGTTAACCCAAGACTTGTTTAACCGTATTATATATTTCTACGTCCTCTTCGAAAAACTTTTATAATTTGGCTTGATTTAATACTTTCTACAATTTTGTGGTGTTTGTATAAACTAATAATTCATTTGCACTTGATGACTGCCTGATTTCGAATTCCAAATACAGTACGCTGGTTTGTGCTCACCTAGTTCTATTTGGCCTTATTTGCGTTATTTCTGAGATTCCTAGTTCATACAATAATTCAAATAATTCTAATCATCATAATTTTATTTTACTGTTGTATGGTGAAGGAGCATTGACAATATAAGCTTTCCTTACTGAATGAAATGGTTGATTATTTTTTATTTTAGACTGTTTACTACGGACGTTCGTTGTTTGACTTAATATCTGCAGACAAGATTTTGATCCTATTTCGTTGAGAATATTCTTGTTGATATTACAGTACTTTCAAGTTATGTTGAGTAACCGATGATCCATATCTAGCACGTTATTTTGTACCGCGGAAAATCTTTACTGTACAGTGAGCACATGTCGTTGTCAAGGTATTTTGCATTTTTTGGCAGAATTTGTTTTATAACATATTGTGGCATAAATTGAGCACCAAATTTTTGTCGTGATATGATCATCGATTTTTTAAGGATTGTGCCCTAAGCAGTAGAATCGAATAGTTTGGTTTGATCGAATGAATTGCGTTTTCGTTGGATTGTCTTCTGTGTTGAGACCAGATATCTGAATTTCGGTCGTCACACTGACAAGTATCTGAGTAATGAATAAAAATCTCATCGTTTCATCCTTTTTAGTTTCCAGACAATTTTGACAAAACCGTACCGAGACAATAGAGACATTTCGGAAGGTTAAGTCGGAGACCTTGCAAAATGTGAAGGAAACTTCATTCCATAACAAAATTAAAAGCCAGATGTAACAAATCGCCATCGAATCAGCAAAACGAATACAACAAAAATAATAGGGGCTATATAAATGAAAAGATTAAGGCAACGACTGAGTGGGCAGAAAACTGGTTTTGCTAGATATATCCATTTTTAAAATTCTGTACAGACGTATCTTGGTTATGAAATCATATAAATTATGTATATTTTGTGCTAGAAATATACCATATATTGTAATGTACACTCTTCCCTAACCTGAGGTTGCAGGTTCTAGTGCTTCAACGAACTTAAAACACACCAATATAATAGTACCAACACAAGTTTTTAATTAATAATCAACTTCTTTTAACATTCAAAAGTTGATAAATCACAACATTATCTTTAACACTATGGAAGTTTAATCGGTTTCCTATTCATGTTATCACAAACTGCACATAAAAATTTACATGCATCTGACAAAGCAGTCACATTGGTAAAACAGAAAGGAGAGTCAACGTCCAATTCTAAGAACACATTTCGAAACGTTTAAGGTCAAATGAATTAAAAGCATTCACGGTTGCTTCATTACGCAATCAGCTGATGTTCGTTAACTCCATGAGTTCTAATCATTATTTCAATGTCCTGGAACTTTCCCTCCCAAACCTTATTTATCTTAAAGAAAATTGTTTATGATGGTATTAAATCTGTCTAAATCTTTGCCACATCATGATACACATATTTACCTTTAATCACCCTCATATTTATAAGTATGTCAATATCTGTAATAACATTGGTTTGAATATATAATTGGTTGTAAGCAGTTGATGTGAACCTAACGAAATAAAACGAATTCATATTATCCATCACTAATCTTCGTTCCTGCCCTCATTAAGATAGTAAAGGGAACTATGTGTATGAAATATTTAAGTCAAATGAAGCATCAGTGAGTGCAACGAAATTATTATTTGATTGAAAAACAACTCGGAACGAAACGTTTGTGGAGATATGACTGACAAGCTTATTTTGTAAATAGTTTTTAATATCATTTGTATTTGTTTTGTCAATTTCTCACTGTATGTACATTTATCATTAAATGATTGTACCTGTTGTTTAAGTAAATGACCTTGAAGACTTTTTCCGTTGTAATTCTAACATAGCGTGACACACTTTCGGTTGTTCGCAAATACACCACTACGCACATAACCATTGTTCTATTCTCGCTCGTTACCAAGTCAATTGCGTTCTAAACTGGATATTATCCTCATTTTAGACTGCTGTGGCATTTCCATTATATCCTATGTCAAAGGAACTTATTGGCGTCATATTTACCTCTGTGGAATTATTACGCATTTATAATTGTGGAATTTTGAGACCAAGACTCAACAGAACACGCAACGACTAGCCGATTTAAGTAACGTCCCTAATTTGTTATTGTATTTGTAACATTTAACTTGTAAATATTAATATTACTATTGATTGTTATTAACTTTGTTGATACTTTTGCGTTTATATATTGTTTGGTCCACCACACGTTGTTTGGTTGAAGAGGATGACGCACACACCATAATTCGTGACTGAATCGGAGTTGTTGCTATAAGGAATTCCAGGAATTTTACACACATTTTATCTTTAATTCGTTGTTGAACAAAAGTCACATTTTGTCCACAGATATTCACCCTCGGTTAGAAGCGAAGGATATTGATACAAATTTTCTCCAATCATTAAAGCTATAAGATACACAGAAAACAAATCGACAAAAATTAAATAGAATACAGTATTTACCCAGCGTACCAACTTGCAATCGCTAAGCTGATTATCAAGAGGAGAGAAGACGCGTGTGTCACCACATGCCAAAGACCCATGGCCATGTACTTATAGGTAGGAAAAATGTGACTGGTGTGATTCCGTCGTTGTTGTTTTCGCCAATTTATGAGATGGTCGAAGATACATTTGGGTCATCTCAGGACAGGAAACAATTTGATATGGTGCTTAACGTTTATAACGTGTGTAAAAGCTATTGTCGTCAAGTTCAGCTCACTAATATCAGTCAAAGAACTGCGATTGCCATTGATATTAGTACTGCTCTAATAATAGATCTAATCGTGGGATTCACATCATCGTCTACGCCAACTCATTGCATCGCAACAATCACCAATACATGATGGCGAAAACGTTTAGGATAGAGATAGAACACTACATCTAATATCAATAAAAGATATAAGGTGACATTCAACAAGGACCGTGCCTGCAATGCGGAGCCATGCCATCCTATCAACCCAAAATAATTCTGTTCATTGTTCCCGCCTCCCTTCGTTGGGTTTTTCTTCACGTTAAATGCTGAACATCTATTTTCCTAAGTGTCTACTGTTCAGGATTGTGTGATTAGGGCCGAGTGCCACTACAGATTAATAGTCTTACTCCGACATTTTTGACTCTCACTGATGTAACTGGCAGGTTTGGGCCAGTTTGACTAGTAACGACTTTTTAAGTTTCACTGGACATTCAGTAACTGGAGGCACTCGTTCATGCATCAGAATTGGATCACGAATGGGTACGCCATGTTACACATCACATGCAAATACTAGCCAGCTTAGATCAAACGTTTGTCGACAAATCGACAATCTCACAATTATATCTTCCACCTCATTCATTCCTGACTTCTGACTTGACTGGGTTGGTGCACTTCGATGATGTAGGTGCTACGAAAAGTGGCGTTGTCAAAATCTGAATATCTTTGGCATTTTTAAACTCTTCTGAATGACCTATGTGACTACATTGTTTACTTCGGAAATTTTATGAATATCTTCAGTAAGCTAACATTTGTATCCCAGATATCTGGACTATCTAGGAGAGCGATAGATGGAGCAGTTATTTGAGAAGAGATTTTAGGAGTTTATAGTTGTCAAAATTTATGAAATCTACGACACATTTTGCTTTTATTGATGAGTGAATTATGCTGATGTGGTGAGTTTTGTTCCCAATGTTACTATACGCTGACGATGTAAAAATCCGGCGAGAAACGACAATAGACATAGATGCATGTGCACTTCAGGCTAGCATATATATTCTGATTACTTGGTCTAGGAAATGGCTGATGCATTTCAACTCAGCCAAGTGTATCTACATGCACTTTGGGGATACAAAGTTAAATAGGTACAGCATAGAGGGAAGTGCATGTACCTGTAGTCAGGTCTCATAAGGATTTCGGGGTAACTGTAGGTCGTGATCTTAAGACCTTGGATCACCACAGTATGCACGATTTTAATGGGAACTAAGCTTGGATACTGTGTTCAGGCTGCAGGCTCCTGTCTAAAAGTTGAGTCGGATATCCTGGAAAACGTGCAGAGGGCAGCTACCTATGCAATTCCGGGACTCCAGTGTTCGCCATGTAAAGAGCGACGTTGAAAGCTAGACCTCTTTAGTCTGTCCTATCACAGACTGACAGATGATCTGATTTTGGTGTATAGAATACTGATAAATTATTTTCGACCTGATATATCTCTTTTTCTACCTCCTAGATCAGGACGACTCGGAGGACATAGCAGATGAGTAGAAAATCCAAGAACGAACAAAATGCCCATGTCATGTAAGTTTTCATACCGAATCAATGAGCCCGTTTCTCGAAGCAATGGTGTTTTCAGCTCTAACTGATTCGTTGAAGAAAAGACTTGAGACACACAGAAGCATAATATAACAGAACAACATAGGCCATAGGCCTTCTGTTCCTACTACTCAACTCCGAAACCTGAGTTGCAACTTATGACAGACAGTAAAACGTACGATGTTAGATTCAGATTTGTGTAGTAAGGACAGAGGGCCTACGGCATATGTTTCCCTTTTCTAGTATGCTTTTGTGAATGTTTAGTCTTTTCTTGAAAGAGTCAATAGCAGGTGTGGACAACACTGCTCCGGGTAATAGATAACAAAGATCTAGCTTAAGTACTTTGGTACACCCACATCTGAACAAATGTACTTATCTCGGTATAGAGTGATGGGTTTTTCAATTGAAGTATGTGGAGGTAACGTTGTAACATTATCTATCAACCCCTCTAGGTTTGACTGAGGACGTTACATGTACGTCATCCTATATTTTGTTATTTGTGCATTTTTAGGTCAAAGATATCGTTCAAAATCACTCTCACTTCAGATCCTAATTTACCTTTCAAGGTGTAAGTCCGTTTATAATATTTTACTGTGTGACGTAGACTAAAGGTTCCTGAAAACGCACCATTTACTGCCGTCTTGAAGTTTGCTGCTGAAGAAGTGAGTTAGTTTTGATGAACTTGTTTGTCTCATGTGAATATTCAATTACAATAAGTACCTTGAGCGGCCTTATAGTGGGGAAGTACTGTAGGATTCTACATTTATCAATCTCCAAGACAGCTACTTTACCAATCTACCGTTTTTAAGGAAATTAAGGGGTTTTTCCCGTGGTCCAATTACAGTTGGCAGTTTTCCTCAAAGTTTGAGGAAGTCCCCCCAGATCTGTGTAAATTTTGGGGTATTGTGCCGTTTCCTACAAATTTCCCTAAAACGGACAAAATTTTCCCCAATATAGGAACATTAGATTAGTAAGACGTCGATGTTGTCTAATTTCGCCATGCTCTTCTTTAAATAAACTTCTTAGTGTATGCTTCTGCGAAAATCCAGTCAAGGAGAGGTATCGCTACTGTGTCCAAAATTATAAGAAGACACCATGTACTACGAACAAACTTACAGAATTTTTTAAGACATTTCCTTGGTTATCATGAAATAAAGATCTCGAAAACAAGTGTTATATGTTGAGTGACCAGAGATCTACGTGTTTCATGTGATAGAGCGCAGAATCTCCCTATCAATGCTTTTTCGATTTTCAATTATTCGTAACGTCGCTGTCTATTTCCAGGTTGACTATCGATCTCAGTAGCAACACTCCATCGTAGGGTACATTTAGTTCTACACATAATTCACTAGTGTGTGTTTTCTTGTCCCAAGTTAAGCTCTAATTCCCACTTGCCATGCGGGAGCGAATCGCCGTAAAAGAGACCCATCCATCAAGGATAATAGTTTAACGTACATTGTTCACTGTATCAATCATATTACCCTACTTTTCAGAGCATGTTCGTTCCTGGTTTCTAGGCTAAGTTAACAGTAACATCCTCTCAGTTACTTGGTCCACGATTCTTGTGAACCTGTTAAACGACTTTTCCAATAACCACCGATTAAACAGAACTGGCTGGCGTGGTATAAACTTTCCCCACCATTTTCCAGATAATTTTGTCGCCATACATTGATCATAACGGTTTGTCTACCCACCACTGCTCATAGTGTCGCCGAAATTCAGTCCTTAATCCTAATTGTCAATGTTAAGCACCATTAGCTCAGAAACCTCATGATTTCTTGTCCTTCTATGTATCCAAATTAAGGTTGTCAGTCCGTTCACTAAACTTTTGTCTTAGTAAATTGCAATGTTTGGCGTTGCCTATGTGATAGTTCCCGGAAGCAAACCTAGGTACCAAATTACTGACTTCATAAATTTACGAAAATGTATGACTATGTATTTGACTAAATACTAACTCTTTATGTATGTGAACAATGTTTAAAGTATATGGAAATAGATCACCTAGTTTATTCTCATCTTAAGTGGTTTGCTTCATCACTTTTCTTTTCTCTTCCTAGTTTAGCGTACCAGCAGCAACAAGTGCTATTATCACAGATGATGGGATCGGTATAAATCCTCAACAAACAGCAGGTGAATCTTATTTTATTGTCGAACTGTTATAATGCAGTTTTGTGTATTACTTTTTGTATCCCAATACCCAGCAGATTCTTAATAGACATACATTTACTCAAAGTTACGTAGTTTCTGCATTTTGATTTCACACATCAGTGTCCATGTATCCTCTTTGGGTTCCAGAACGTGTTGCCAATCACATTTGGATTGTGTACACATGTTGGATACAAGATATTTAATTAAACAGTCAAGATCTGTGTTCCGTTTCTGAAGGATTAAGCGTCTCATGACTTTTTACATGTACATGTATATTTATCACTACCACATCAAGATGAAACCGTGTCCTAAATGCTAAATTATGCAATGAAGTTTTCAAGTTTTAAATGCATCTATGTCCATTAAGAGTAAGTTATCCGCGTCATATATATAATACCACACATAACATGATTTGGAAAGTGTGGATAGGACCTTAATTATTTCTCTTGGGTTTTCGTAAAGTAACTAGTACCGATATGACCCTAAAAATAGTGGATTAATTAACTTGCATAACCTTTCTACATTCTTTTTGCTGCTTAGACATAGAGGTCTCGTTAATTTAGTCTCAGTAATAGTGTATTATTTAATTTTACTAAGAACTTGTTTTCGCTTTTTTTCCTTCAGGTGAAGTGTTTCTTAAACATGGATCAGATTTACGGTTAATCCCTAGGGATCGTGTTGGTGGCCTGTGATATTCTTTTTCCCTTGTTTATTGTGATCACTTTGTATGTCATATCTGTATTTATTTATCTGAAAAGATTATTTGAATCCTGACGATTCCCACTTACTATAAGTTTCCTATGTAAAAGAAATGTTGTAATCATGATGTATTTTTCCTCTTGTTATGTAAGTGATCGGGTACATGTAAGACAATCAGCTAGTCATCTTGACCTCCCGCACAAAAGTTCAAATATGTTTGAACCCTTCTTCAAAAATCAACACAAATGAATCTCCAAGAAAATGTTTGATAGTTTCTTATCATGCTGTTTGTTATACTCCTCAATCCTAACTATGCAGTACATTCGTTTGACTTTTTAGATTCATCTAAACTGCTTTCAGACTTTTGCTACTGAAGCACTTGAATCCAAAATCCATCTGACTTCTGAAAAAACATACATTAATTAGTCATGAATCTACTGTCAATTCTTCAGTCATCCCTGGAGTTATTACTTTACTAGATCTCTAATGTGATAGTCAGTCAGACCCTCTACATTGGTTGATGTTTAATGAATTAAGCTAATTAAAGATTGGCCAAATGATATATGTGCTTAGTTATTCAAGATCTTGTTTTCAACTTGAAAAGATGGGGTACGTCTTATAACTTAGTTTTTCAAGAAACTGATACATATATAAATGAGTATACATAAATATCGATTCCAATGAACTTCCTTTCTCGTTCAGTCTTTTCACTTGAGTAGCCGGTTGAACTCGTGTGTATGAGGATTGCGTATTAGCACTAACTTTTATATCGCACGTCACAATGACGTTATCAAACCGAATCTGTTTGCGATAGTCAATAATGTGTTAGAAAGCTTGCGAGAGTACATTCACAAAACTCGGATCCTCCATTGATGAACAGTTGATTTCTGTGAAATATTTGCAGTCGATCAAGTATGGTTTTCTTGTTCTAGAGAATAGTGATATATAAGTTTTGTACATGTGACTCTGTTGTCGGAAAAAGGCTAGACGACCTTGCAACTCACTGACATAACCTTATCGATTGGAGATGTATGGTATGATTAATAAGGGGACGAGTGTCTTTTCATGTCCACAACGTTCATTCAGGGTCCACCACTGTTTAACGATTGGTTATAGTCTTAACGTTATTCAAAAAGACCTGTTTAGAAACTAATCCTTACGCTTGGTTTAAGCTTTTTGTTTTTGGCGTACAGTTATTCAGATTTCTTGATTAAATCACAGCAAAACGTATGTTCGAGATTGTTTGTTAACCAGTAATTGCTGTTATCAGGATATTGATTACTAGCTATAAGTGACTGAATAGGTATTATTCTATAGGAACGTTTTGTCTGAACTGTTTCTGAGCCTGAGTCGCTTGTTTCATGGTATCTATCTATACTTATTAATGTAGCGAGAACTGTTACTACTAGTAGAATTACTTGAATGTATCATTGGCATCCCAGGTTCCATTCATCGAACAATCTGGGTAATATGATGTTAATGACTTTTCAAGTAGTCGTAAATTACATGGACTTTTCTAGTTTATTGTGGTACTCAAGTTGGATATTTTCTTGACTGACTGTCCACTCGTCCACAAAATCTCTATTTCAAGACGATTCGGGCTAATGAAAAATATTTCTTATGTTTTGTTATCATGCTTCATCTTTACATTTTGAGCTAGAACAGATATTGAGATTTGTTGGTCGTCGTAAGCATGTTTAGTTGTTCTATTTTGTTTACTTGACTCATCAACTTATTAGTGTTAAGTTTTTTCCCTGAGTATACTATATCAATTGAAATAAGTAGCCATTCAATTTATCTAGGAAATGTTCTCTCGTAAAGACTTTCAAACGTTCTTCTAGCATATGACTGACGTATTGCCATAAATTCAGTCTATTTATTGTTGGCTGTCAAATTACACAGTTAACGAATCGACTGTAAAAGCCACCAGTCTCTTCCAAAAGTTGTCCGAACACACCAGTAGAGTAATTATTCCAGTACATAGTAAGTATTACCATTCTGCTTCCTAATCTAATATCCACTTTGCTGAACATGAATTTTAGGAATGGTTCTTCCAGTTTCGTTTGTAGCTCAATTAATCGGGATGTAAGTGACTTTAAACAGGTTCCCTGACGGTTTAGCAAAATACGGAGACGTAACGTCTTAGTTTTGTCTCACTATTTAGTAAGTTGCCAGTTAGGAAACCCCTGAATGCCCTGGTACGGCCGAGAGTGGGGAGAGTCCGCTCTCCCTCTCGAAATACTCTCACACGGCCACGCGTATATAGCCTCTGCCAGGGAAGTCCTACTCATTGCCTTCTCGTGGCGGGGGTGTTGTTTACGAAAATGAGAGGACGAGAAGCGAATGTCCGGCGCTTTAACCGGATTCCAAACCAATGGTGCACATGGGCTCCAGTATCCTGCGGGAACGAATGGCGTATGAACCAATCGTTGGTCACCGGCTACCATGGGACTGCATCTCCTTACGATGCTCCACTGCCTTGTGGGTTAGACCTTTAGGTCAAAGGCTCGGGGAGTGGCCCCCTAAGATAACCACCTGCTTCGGTTTGGGCACCCGGGCAGTATCACAGCCCACACACAAATGATGAACTGTTTATGTCTATGGAAACTACTTTTGTCGCTTTGAATAACAATCAATTGATTCAAATTATGATCACTTCAATTATTGTCATTATTAATACTAATATTACTATTACTACTATTATTGTCATTATTGTTATTATTATCATTATTATTATTATTTTCCACATTATTCACCTTCTTTTATACTTATACAGCGGCTCGTCTTTGGTGGAATTCCGACTGTATCTAAACGTTCTCGAGTCACTGTCCGGTTGAAAATTGTATGTTACCACCGAATACGAGGACTGAAGCAGATTTTCTGAAACCACGTGCACCATTCAAACTGGCTGCCTTCAACGTTCGCACATTTATGCAGGTCGGACAACAGATAGGGCTGGCTATGTCTTTGGAAAGTCTTAATATCGACGTGTGTTGTCTATCCGAGACCCGTATTCAAGACTCTGGCGAAGTACTACAAATTCGATCTCCATCTGTCGCTTCGAAAAGCTTGTTTTACGTGCGCTTATCCGGGGACCCTGTGGCATCTTCGTCTGGTTTTGCTGGCGTTGGTGTCGCACTAAGCGCTAGAGCTGAGGCAGCACTAGTCGATTGGATCCCCATTAACAGTCGGTTATGTGCTGTTAGATTAGAAAGTTCCATCAAAGTGAGAAGAAATCGGCGTGAGAAACGATGTCTTTTCGTCATCTCCGCCTATGCCCCGACAGATTGCAGCCCGGATGCAATCAAGGATGAGTTTTACCACCAGTTATCAGTTCTTCTCCAGAAAGTGCGTTCGACAGATATTGTAGTACTAGCCGGAGACTTGAATGCTCAGGTCGGGCGTCTAGGCACAGAAGAGAGTCGTTTAGGTGGCCGATGGGGACTCGTTGGTCGCAGGTCAGATAACGGGGACCGTCTACTGCAACTTTGCGCAGACCACAACCTGTTTCTGGCTAGCACTAACTTTCGGCACAGTCATCGCCGATGTGCCACCTGGCGTCCTCCCTCTGCATCTCAAGCCTGGACTCAGATTGATCACATCGCGATCAGCTACCGCTGGCGTGGTTGTGTACAAGACTGCCGCTCCTTTTGGAGTACCTATCTGGACTCTGACCATGCCTTGGTCTGCGCCAATCTTGCCTTACTTTTCAGTGGACAACGAAGTGAACGCCATCAACGGATTGATGTTAGCAAGCTGGTTGCAACTTCTGTTGCAAGTAAGTATCGAACCGAGCTAGCCTCTAGGCTAGCTACCACTCCACCGAAAAGTATAGATGAGCATTGGTTGCAATTGCATGACGCCATGAAAATGGCGGGAACAGTCAGTTGTGGGTTTGCGAAACGTCCCGCTTTTAAGCACTGGGTTTCTTCTGGTTCCTTACAACTCATTGAAGCCCGTCGGTCTACTCCGGGTAACCGTGAGTTTGACCATAAACGAAGGTTTTTACGTAAGGAAATTGGGCAAAGCTTGCGTAAGGACCGAGAAGCCTGGTGGTCGATGCGTGCTAATGAGCTGGAAGCAGCAGCTGCATCTGGTAACTACCGGAAGCTCTTCCAACTCATCCGAGCCACTGGCAGCAAGAAGTCTGGTGTGAGTGAAACAATCTGCGAGGATGATGGGATGCCAATCACTAACATCCATCGACGTCTTGGACGATGGGCAGAATTTTTCGAAGGGCAGTTCAACTGGCCTGCTGCTCCGGTAACATCGGTCAGACTGTCCTGCCCTCCATGGCCGGTGACGACTGATCCACCAAATGAGGAGGAAGTCCGCAAGGAACTCCAACTCTTGAAGCGTTACAAATCACCTGGCCCAGATGACTTACCTCCGGCTCTTTTTAAAGATGGTGGTGACTTTTTGACTAAGGAATTGACGACGTTGTTTACAAAGGTTTGGGATCTAGAGAGTGTACCAACGTCATGGAATGAGTCGATAGTTGTCCCTATCTTTAAAAAGGGTTCACGTCGTTCTTGTAACAACTATCGGGGGATAAGTTTACTTCCGATTGCGTCCAAGCTATTGGCTTCCATCATTCTTCGTAGGTTGTTCAAAACCCGAGAAAGATTGACTCGCGAGGAGCAGGCTGGGTTTCGTTCTGGTCGAGGATGTATTGATCATATCTTCACCCTCCGCCAAATGTTAGAACACCGCCATACTTTTCAAAGGCCAACAATCGTAGTGTTTCTTGACATCAGGGCTGCCTTCGATTCGTTGGATAGGACTGTTCTCTGGGATTGTCTATTGAAGAAGGGTGTGCCTGAGAAGTTTATTAACATCCTAAAAGCCCTGTATAAAAACACCTCAGGCAGAGTGAGGGCATACAACCACCTCTCTCCATTGTTCCATTCGAGCAGTGGGGTTAGGCAGGGTTGCCCAATCTCACCATTCCTCTTCAACTTTGCCATCGATGACATTCTGGAAACAGCTCTGATGAATGTAAGTAATGGTGGTGTGGATCTGTTGCCTGGAGAAAGACTTCTCGACCTTGAGTATGCGGACGATATTGTCTTACTGTGCGATAATGCCCAAGGCATGCAATCCGCACTTAATCAGTTGGCAATCAATGTCCGTAGGTATGGTATGTGCTTTGCACCTTCGAAGTGCAAAGTACTTCTACAAGACTGGCAGGATTCTAGTCCTGTACTCACTCTGGATGGTGAGCAGATAGACGTAGTTGAGAAGTTCGTGTATCTGGGTAGCTACATAAGTGCTGGTGGGGGTGTGAGTGATGAGATCAATGCACGAATAGTGAAAGCCAGAGCGGCTTATGCCAATCTGGGCCACCTTTGGCGCCTTCGTGATGTTAGTCTGGCTGTAAAAGGCCGGATCTACAACGCGTCGGTGAGAGCAGTTTTGCTCTATGCTTGTGAAACCTGGCCTCTCCGAGTTGAGGACGTTAGACGACTCTCTGTGTTCGATCATCGCTGTCTCCGAAGGATTGCTGACATTCAGTGGCAACACCATGTCAGTAATGCAGAGGTTCGGCATCGTGTGTTCGGGCACAGAGATGATAATGCAATTGGTGTCACCATCTTGAAACACCGACTTCGGTGGCTTGGACATGTTCTCCGAATGTCGTCCCAGAGAATTCCACGTCGTGCATTATTTGCCGACTCTGGGACTGGTTGGAAGAAGCGGAGAGGTGGTCAGTGCATGACATGGTGTCGTGGCATGAAAGAAAGCTGCAAAGGACTGGCTTGTGTTGGTCCTTCACGACTCCCTGGCTGGGGTCCGAGAGATGGTGCAACACAGTGGCTAGAGACGTTATCAGATATGGCTCAGAATAGAAGCCAGTGGCGATCCTGCTGTAACCTTCTTTTACTTTCTTCATAAAAGTGGTTGTATCTTACTTAACTGAAAGATTTCTTCTGATTGTACCTCTTCGTCATTACTCTCTTTTTCTTTTGCGTTCCTTAGTTTTTTTTTTTCTTTTTTTCTTTCTACTTCTCTTCGAATTCCCATTGTTTTGTGTGGCGCATATATATTGGCGCTCTCTTGTACCAATATTTATGTGTTCAAATAAATAAATAAATAATAAATAGTGTTGGTTATAGGATATGGCTACTCATAAGTAGTATAAACAATTCAAAAAATATGTTTAACATCGTGTTCGGTACGAAGATAAATATCTCGGGGAGTTTTGCCATGGCTGTTCAATCGAAATCAGGTTTAATGTTATCTTTTGCTTTATATCCTACACTTCACTGAATATTACCTTATGGGGCTGTCCTAATATAATTCATAAATTAGAGATGATTTGTTGCCTATCCTAAATATCACGAAATTCAACAAGGGATAGAAAGTATTTAGACTATTAGAAATGAGTGTCAAATTAATGTACCTTGATTTGGCTGTGGAAAAATAATTGCGTTCTTGGCACTATACAGTAAAAAACCCTGTTGCTATGTACCGAATCCAGCAAGCTAATCATGAAATTACTTTACCACTATCAAAAGCATAGATTACTCACGACTGCCACCCCCCTTGTGAAAGAGCATAAACCGCCCGCCATCCAACTCTGTCCTGGGCAGTACTTCCCAGATGTTTCCGATTGCTATTCATTCTTTTGGTATTTTCTTCCAATTCTCGACGCTGTGTTCCTTGGCCTTCCTCTTTCACGTCGCCCATCACGATTCAAAGTTAGCGCTTACCTCATGATTCTGTTTGCTGATTTCCTCATTGCATGTTCTATTCACTTTCACCATCTTCTTTTCAGCTGGAAGCTGGTTTGTTCTCCTACAGTAGTCTGTTGCTGATGGTATACGGTCAACGGACATTGAGTGTCTTGTGTAGACAATTGTTTAGAAATAATTATTTTGATGGATGTTTAGAAATACTTGTATTTTCTTAATCATGGTTGTGGTAATTCTCCGAGTTTTAGCTCCGTACAGTAGGACTGTCTTGACGTTCGTATGGAAGATTCTGAATTTGATATTGGTTGATAGTTGTTTTGAGTTCCATATATTCTTCAACTGGAGGGATTCTGTTCTTGATTTGCCATTACTTGCCGTCAAATCTGCATCAGATCCTCCTTGTTCATCAGTGATGATATCCAGGTACGTGGAAGATTCCACATTTCCAGGGCTTATCCATCATGTCTGTTTGGATTGATATTCTCTGTTGTATTTGAGGATCTTTCTCGTATAAGTTGAAGCCTACTGATAAAGAGGCTGCTGCTACACTGTTTGTCTTCCTCTGCATTTGTTCATGTGTATGGGATAGAGGGGCCAAGTCATTTACGAAGTCCAAATCTAATTGATTCCTAGCTGTCCACTGTATCCCATGTTTCCTGTTAGAATTCGAGGTTTTCATAATCCAGTCAACTACCAGAAGAGAGTAAACAGATTTGTTTGAATTCGATCTTTACTTGGGATCCGGCCTATTTATTTCGAATCTGGACGTCTAGGTAATCTTTCATCCGGTTCAGTAACAATGTCAGAAACGTCTCTTAGTACTGACAGTAAAGTGATGCCTGTGTAATTCTCACATTTGCACATATCTATTTTCTCTGATATCTTGATGAGATATCCTTCTTTCCAGTCTCTGTGGCACTTGGTCTTCCTCCGAAATCTTCTTGAATAGAACATGAAGTATGTTTTGAGTTGCTTCAATGTCTGGCTCCAGCGCTTCGTCTGGTGTATTGTTAGGTCCTTCTGCTGCCCACACTTGATTTGTCTGATGGCCATCCTGCTTCCTCCGGTCGTTAGTGGAGTGACATCTATAGGAAGGTCTGTAGTTGCTACTTCGATGTCCGATGGATTCAGTGAGACTGGTCTGTTCAATGGCTCCACAAAATTTTCTACCCATCTGTTCCTCTGTCCTCGAATTTCAGTGATTGGCTTTCCTTCTTTGTCCTTGACCACCCTCTCTAGTTTACCATGTTTCCGTGACAGTTACTTCGTTGTATCTTACAAGTTGTTCAATATTTCCTTCTGTTGAAGCTTTTTCCACCGTCGTTGATAGGTCTTTCATGCATTTCTGCTTGTCAGCTCTAATGCTCCTCTTCACTTGCTCGTTTGATTCAGCTTGTGCCTTGACTCTATTCTTTATCGGTTGTTGTTAATTACTGTTTTCTTGTTCTCGGTTTCTTGAGTCTTGCCTACAGTTTCGATGGAGATCCATTCCTCATTATGATAAGTATTGTCTGTGTTACTTTGGACAGCATCAGAGCAACTGCCTGAGTGTGTGTATCTTTTTGTTCTTCGTGACCAGAGTACAATAGCATCTCTTCAGAATCTAACAGTTTTGTCCAACTTGGGTACAATGTGTTTCACTTATTCCGAGAACCGTCAAGTTGTATCTCCTCATTTCCGTAGATAATTCACTGGTCGTTCCAGTCTCCTTTATTATCCGGACATTCCATATATCTATATTAATTGTTGCAGTGGTTGTTAAAATGAGCATCGGCCTCATGACTTTCGCAAAATCTCTGTTTTCATTATCAAATGTAAGAGTTCCTCATGGACTTTGAATAAACGCGACACTTTCAAGATGGTAGTGACGAAATTAAGACATATCAAGGTAAATAATTAACCTTACTAGCACACCGGTTTTTACATATCGAAATTAGTTAAACCTTTTTGGACCAATTAATGATAGACAGGTAGTGTTGTTCTAAAGTTTGGATGTAATTAGTGTATATCTCCACATAATTAGCTTTCATATCGATTGCTTTTAAATCAATATGTATACATGTCATTGATTATATTTACCCGCCTAGATTTATGCTTCGCTTGTTCTCTCAAACACGACGTACATATTAAACTGGTGATGACTCATTCACTTATCCATGCACATTTACTTGGTAAACCATATTTTTTTCTTACTATTTCTTCCCTGTCCATCGATCATGTCGTTTAAATAAGCTGTTTAAGACAAATCATTCTCAAATCTTGGTCTCGACTTCTGTTCAAATTTCAAGTCCATTTTCAACAAAAAAAAAGCATTCTATTAGTCATTCATAATCATCTTGCAACCTAACTGGAGGTGTACTCGACTGATTCACCAATTTCAGCGCAGCAAGACGAAATTGACAAAATAAATAGCATATGAATTAAAGCGATAGCAAAATTAATAGTTGTACCAAGACTAGACATATAATGCCCCCAAGGTATATACTTTCCTGTCGTTGCCGTTAATAACTGTACCTGATTAGCCACTTTTGGTATATGTGAATCCTGAGCAGATTACCACGTTAGTGCTGGTAAAGTTGAATAGTAGCTAATAGCGAAATTAGGGGGGCACATTTAGTCCTGTTTAGTACTCGTCAGCTGGATGTACCCGGTTCTAATGCTCAAATAGACTGATCACTTGTTGTCGTTAACATAAACAACATGAAGATATAAACCGTTAAAACAAAATTCGTACACATCTCACAAGCCCGCTGCCATCGTGACTCAGTAGCTTAGTAGATAATGTTTCGGGCATCTTAAGCGAATATTGGGTTTGAGTCTTGATTTGGACATCGACACTAGAATACACGTACATGTAGCTGATAAGTCATAAGTAAGAAGAAACACTTTTCCTAGATTTCACTGCTAGCCACTATCCAATTTTACCGAATATCACGGGTGTTATTCGATAAGATTGGATGAAATGCGGAAATTAAATAAATGGAGTTATGGAGGAAACACGAGATTGTTAACTCATATAAGAGAAGAAATAAACAGTAGCATATTAATGATTATATGTTGTAGTCAATATACCACTCTTAGCCTATCAAAGTTACAACTAGTTATCAGATTACATCGGCATTACAACTTTCGTTCATTTTGATAAATTCACAGTTTAAATCTTATATTCTTAGGATTTATTTGCTGAAATTAAGGGAGGTAATTTCAAGGAAAGAATCTCTTACAACATGTTTTGGTACATAAATGGTGCCCGTTGATTTGAAATCACTATATTGATAAGAGATTTAGGATGGTAAAAGTGAGGTAGTCGTTGTTTCAGAATTTTCTGTTGCCTATTCACTGAAGTTTCCTGTGTGAGTATCTAATTTGTTCTGGTTTTTTCTGACATTTAATAGAGAATTTGTAAAGTTAATAAAAACGTCTGTTACCAAAAAATACACTGGAATTATAAAAGGAGTAAACTCTAAAAATATCAGAAAATTACCCTAAGATTGATACTCATGTCTGTCGACAATCATTAGGGATTTCAAAATAGATTTAACCGTACCAGCCAATAAGGATTTTAGGCGAGGCTATAATTTATGGACGAACCAATCAGATTTAGGATAACAGGTCTTGGATTTTGGCGCGAAATTCATTCACGTATTTGTCTAAATAGGGTTTTGGCATTTTAGCTGATATAAATTCGTGTTGAAAACCGTATATCTGAAATTTTAACCCTTACTATCAACTGTAAATTATAATCCTTATTTTTCACACTGTTTTATAATCTTAATTTAGCCCCAGTAATTAATTGGACATTCTCAAGGTCATTTTAGCGTCGCTCAAAAGTCGCACATAAATTGTAGTCTCATCCTCACTTCCTTTCGATAGTTTTTTTTTTCTAAACAAAATTCAGTATATATTGGCTATAAATCTCAGACCATTTTCTGTCTTTCCTTAGATTCCAAGTTTTGGAATTATTTCATACGTTTTACTTGACGAATTTAATCGTTCTCCTCGAAATATATCGTCTGTGTTTAACTTTTCTCCTACCATTGACATTGTTTCTACTTCTACTACTCTGGCATTTGTCTGGATAATTTCATTGTAATGTGGGAGAGAGGTTTGATTACTTGGACCATTACATATACATGCTTAGTTCTACGTTGAATTACCATAAACACATAAATGTCTATAACTCCATATTACTTAACAATTCTTGGGCAGTGGTACAACAAAACGATACAAGTTGTATTTATCATTAATTTTATATAATAACTATACTGTTAGTTTTATTAGTTCCAATCGGTATTTCAAAGTTTTTATTGAGTTCATGAACCGATCAACTCAACAATCTGCATAAACCTATACTGATTTATATTTCTAAGTGCTAAATTTAAAAT